TAAAAAACATTATTATTATTATTATTATTATTATTATTATTATTATTATTATTAGAAACAACGTAAAATAAAAATAAAAAAATCTTTGTTACAAAAAAAAAAGAACAAGAAGAAAAACAACAACAACAACAGAAACAAACAATAAAGATCCAAATAAAATTTATTGTCTGCTCATAAATTTCCACGTAGAAAGAGGAAAAAAAAAAAACAACTACTACTACTACTACTACCACTAACACCACCACCACCACCACCACTACTACTACTATTGGTGATAATAATGATGATGATGATAATAATAATAAAAAAAATCGAAAAAAATAATTGAAAAACATTTTTAAATGAACTTTTTCTACTTTTTTTTTTTTTACAATTTCTCGTTGTGAAAAACGAAAAAAAAAAAAAAAATTCCCTCAGGAAATTTTAACGGTTTACAATAATAATAATAATATTAATGATGATAATTTTTTTTTTCTTGTAATTTTAAAATAAAATTAAAATAATAAATTTTCAAATTCTATTGCTTTTCATTTTTAAAATTTTCCATTCCTTGCAACAAAAAAAATAAAAATTTATAAATAAATTTGATAAGAATTTTTTAATTTTTTTTTTCTTTTTTTTTCTTTTAGGTAATTGCCACGGGGGGAGGGGAGGGGTATAGGTGGGAAAAGGTCGACCTTTTTGACCCGTAATGCAAGCAAGCGGCAACAACACAAACGAACCACGTAAGAAAAAAAAAAAAAAAGAAAAATCGATCGATTTTTTCCAAACGTTAAATAAAATTACTCAACCGATTCCATTCCAATATTTGCAACAACAACGACAACAACAATAATAATAGGAATAATAATAATAATAATAATAATAATAATAATAATAATAATAATAATAATAACAATAATGGAAAATCGTAAAGGGAAAAACATTTTGTGAAAATATCGATTCGCGAACGCGATTTTTTAAATAATAATTCTCAAATTGTACGAAATTTTGTTGATTTTAAAATTTAAGAAAGAGGAAAAGTCGAAAAACATCCCGAGGGAACGTGGACAGGACAGGACACGTTCCCGATGGAACAAAATTTCATAAATAAAAAAAAAAAAAAAGCAAAAACTTACAGTTGAGTCCGAGGTCGTGATAAGTTAAAATGGCAGGTTTTGATCGATTCCCTTGCACGGCGACTAATAGCGTACCCCTGTCCGTTTCGACGGTCATTTCCTGGATGTTGGGATCATCTTT